AGTCCAGTTGCCTCTTGAAAAAGCATCTTTGGGACAACCATGACCTGGATAGTTGAGAATCTCCATAGACACTTAGCAAAGATACAATATCCCCAGAAATATTAGGTCTTGAAATAGGAACAATCAAGTTCAGCTTCGTGCATAGCCCTGCCATTGGTTTGTAACATGTTGTTCATGTTTGTTTCTACAATTAGAAGCACAGATAAACAACCAAACAACTGCAGGGATATCTTTCAGAACTCCCTATCAGATATCCCTGAGTGTAAAAGGAGAAACACTAAACCATTATAGCCAGATTGTTCAGCTAACATCACAGTACATTTGGCTCCTGCTTTTATATTCTCCCACCCCACCCCACCTCCATTTCTACAACATAGGCAAATATGATGTTCCAAAAAAATATTGTATATGGCAATAATTAAAGCCAATTACATCCTAAGAAGGAAAGTCTATTAAAATGCATAATTGCTTATTATACTGTCCCTTATGCAAATGTTTTGCCTTAGTACCTATATTTGCCTTGTAAATGGGCTATACATTGAGAGCAAATATCCTACTTTCCAAAATACATGACCACATAAATACTTAAAATGAAGTGTACATTTGTAAGCATATTGAATAATTTAAAATGCATATCAAGCCAATTTAGTAGCAATAGCTTTACATGTAACTTTTATTAGATACGCTTCCATTATTTATCTTGTATAGTACAGCAACTGTAAAAAAATAAATAAAATGTAGTAGCAAAAGAATATCAAGGAGTTGTCAGAAAAAAATGTTTTCAGCTATAAAAAAGCAGCATTATGACATTATAGACTACTTGTCAGGAAGAAACTACGCATAAACTGCAGTTAAGAGACCAAAAGGGGAAGAAGAGAAAATCCTATGGAAGGATAGGAATCTTCCCAAGAAGAAAGACCATAGAACCGATCGGGAAAGGGAGGCAGTTCCCGTCATTGGATGCCTTCAGACTCAGAGGGAAGGCAGCCATCTATCTAGATGATTTCATCTGGATTCTTGCACTTAGCAGGCAGATGGATTTAATGGTCTAAATACACTCTGATATGTTCTTATTATTATTTTATGCACTTTTCTGGGACCAAACCTCCAGGGCAACTTCTACCAGGAATTGCCTTTTTAAAATACATACAAGAAATTAGAACACATATAAAAGCAACATTAAAAACATGTGATCAAGATGAAATCCTTTTAAATTGGGTTGGGGGGGGCGGATAGAAGGCTTTCACCAGACATTTAAGAGAATTCCCATTATGCCTGTAAAACAACCCAGAAATGTCTGAGTTCAAATACATATGATGATACAATGAATTTTTGAAGATCAACATTCAGCTGAAACCAAAAATTTTCTTGCTGGATTTAATGGACAGTCAAGTAGAAAAGAGCCATGGAAGATTATTTTTAAATATGATTACTGGTGCAAGACTATTATATGTGCAAAAATGAGGGGGGGGATCTGAAATATGCACCACACAGGAATATTTGCCTGAACTAGCAGAGATGGCAAAATTAATTTGTTCGAGTAGAGAAAGAGCAACGACTACTTTTATGAGCGGCTGGAGGGGGACAGAGAGAGAGAGAGAGAGGGAGGGAGGGAGAGAGAAATGAAGTTTTGAAAATTAGAAAGGTTAACTTAAGGAAAGAAGAAAATTAGTCCCTTCTAAATCTGTTATTCTGTTAATAATGTAACATTAGAGAAAGAGGGTAAAATATAAATACATATATATAATTACAATCAAGACCAGAAGCTGCTCCTTTTCTTTTTTATTTCTTTTTCTATATTCTCTCATTACTATTCACTCATTTTCTTTATTCTCTTTATTTTATCCTATGGCTTACAAACTCAATAGTGAAGGGGTCACTCCACTATTTGGAGAAGGGATAACTTGTAATGTCAGAATTGTAGCTCAACTAGGAAGTCAGTAAAATTTCCTGAAAGAAGGAACTGTTTCTGAATTGTTGCCAAGGAAACTATATGGACACATCTATGCAGACAGCAGGAGTCAGGCTCAACTTGAAGGCAACTTTACTATAAAGTTCAAATAAATACTGCAGCACCCGGGGAGGGATCAAGGTAGCGCAGACTAATACATCATGATGCAAATCCTGCCCCCTTTTTAGGGTCATCATAATCTTAACTCCAGCTTCTCATCCCCCCAAAAGACAGAGGCAAAACTTGCAGCATAAACTTGCTGAAAATGTCCAAGATTTTTTAGTTTTTGTTTCTAGCAGGGCTACTCTTCCAGATTTACAAATATGGTCAATACAGGTAGTCCTTGACTTATGACCACAACTGAGTCAAAAATTTGTGTTGCAGAGTGAGACAGTTGTTAAGTGAACTTTTCCCAATTTTGCAACCTTTCTTGCCACCGTTGGTAAGGGAATCACTGCAGTTGTTTAGTTAGTAATATGATTCTTAAGTGAATCTGGCTTCCCCATTGACTTTGCTTGCCAGAAGGTCACAAAAGGGGATCACATGATCCCCAAGACACACTGCAGCCGTCATATATATGAGTCAGTTGCCAAACATCTGGCTTTTGATTGTGTGACCCTGGGGATGTGGTAGACCTGTCCAGAGGTCAAGAAGTATTGGAGTATAATTCGATTGTGGTTAGAAGAAGTAATAAAACAGAAAATTGAATCCCAACCAGAACTATTCCTATTAGGCATAATAATGGAAAAATATAATAAAAAAGATACATTATGCTACATATTTTAATAGCTGCTAGGATTTCCTATGCACAATTGTGGAAGCAAGAAAATGTACCATCAGAGGATGTTGTTATAAAAAAAAAATTTAGACTGTGCAGAGATGGACAGACTAACAATGAAATTAAGAGACAAAGAGTCGATATATTATAATGTCTGGGATGCCTGGTATGAATGGTTTAAGAATAAAAAGAAATCAAAATGGCTATTAAGTATAGAATAAGAAACTATGTAAATACTTATATCTATATTCATACCTATCTATATTTATTTATATATTAAGTTGAAATTGTATAATGAAAGAAATGTGTACATAGAAAGATGATAAGGAAATGTAAAAGATGTCTTGATGTTGATATAATGATGTATAAAGTTTTGTTTTATGTTTTTAAATTTTGAAAACTAAATAAAATTTACTAAATAAAAAAAAAGAAATGTTGTCAGTCGAGGACTTAGTCTGCTTCTGAACAGAATGGCTGTTGAGGATGCTCAGACTAATCAGTATGATTTCAAGAGAAAAAGCTGCATTCCTTCCCTTGTGAGAGTATATATGCACACACCTATGGATGTGTATGCATAGGAATTAACATATATAGATTGTCAATGATACAGAGTGGTCAATGTCTGGAACACTCTACCTGACTCTGTGGTTTCTTCCCCAAACCCCCAAAACTTTAACCTTAGACTGTCTACTATTGACCTCACCCCTTTCCTAAGAGGTCTGTAGGGGGCGTGCATAAGCGCACCAATGTGCCTACCGTCCCTGTCCTATTGTTTCTTTTATTTTTCTTATATGTATCCATTTCATGTATTCATAACTATGTTTATTCTTATACCTATTATCTTGTAAGTGATTGACAATTCAAAATTTAAATTTAAATTAAATTAAATTAAAATATATTGAGGATAATAAACCACGATCTTAACAACATGAGCAACACACAACCAAAAGCCTGTGTATGTAGGAATGCGCATAGAGATGTTCTAGGCTGCTTTTCCCCTAATTCCATCAAAATTTCCTATTTTTTCCATTTATTTGTTGAGCTTGCCTTTTTTCTGCTCAATATGAAAGTATTCCTGTAGCATAGACAAAGGATAAAACCTTAATTAATGTGTCTCTCTGTTATACACTGGGATGCTCCCAAGCAAAGCAAAAGTGCTTGGGACATTTGGCTTATCAGCATCTTATCCCCAAGCAAATGTTAATCCAATAACAGTAACAGAGCCCTGGTCTCATAAGAGACCTATACTATTTCTGATAAATGAAAGAAGGAAGACTGCGACCATGTCACCCTGGTCCTTCTCTTCACTAGACTGGGCATACCCAGTTCCTGCAATGGTTCTTCATATATTTTAGCTTCTAGGCCCCTAATCATTTGTTGCTCTTCTCTGAACTCTTTCCAAAGTCTCAAAACCTTTTTGTATTGGGGTGACCAAAACTGGACGCAATATTCTAAGTATTTTCAGTCTGACAGAAGGGAACTTCCCAGTTAACAGGTGAATCCAAGGGAGGTCCCAAAGTAATGCATTTTCAGCTTTTCTCTTCACATTGATATCACCCACTTTAGCAGCAGTAGATGTCTATTTCTATTTGTTTATTTTTGTTTTTTGGGATTATTTATCCACTGTTTGGAAATTCCTTTCTTAGGGTTCTATAACTCCCCATATTGCAAAACTTCACAATGTTCTATAACCCACAAAGTCCAAATCCCTCATATTGAAAAGGAAGCTGGTAGCACAGAGTCCTCGGATACTCTGGAAGGAAAACTGCCTTAGATTTGCAGGATAAGGCCATTTAAAGTAATAAGGCTTCATCAAGCTAAATTGAGAAACACCAAAGGAAAAAAAAAACTCCTAATTGAACATTGCCACAAACACGATCAGAGTTACATTTTTTATCTCCTTTTTCCATAATGTTGTTGGAAGAAATATCCTTCTGGGTTCAGTTCCAAGTGGGGAAAAAGACACTGGAAACACGGAGGCCGTTTGGAAGGTTTAATGGTAGATAGGAGGACCACATGGTTTGAATCTTGAAAGAAGGATGATCACAGGCTCCAAGGTGAAGGAAAAGAGAAGTAAAGGCTGAGGTGCTGAGAGTGCCTGGGTTTTATAACCTTTGTTGGGATTTGAATTTGGGCTTGTATTCTGATTGGTTGTCAGACTCTCATGAGGCTATGCAGGGGCAACTCTGTAGGCTGTCCTGAGTTCCAGGCTTGGTTGAGCTTTGCTGGATGATGATGCCCTGAAAGGGCTTTTCAGCAATTGCTGGAGATCTCTGTTATGTAAAATACTCTGGCCCATGCCTTAATGGCCCACCCATTAACAAAGGTGGGGGTGAGCTTCTACTTCTGAGGTTAGTTTTTGCTTCTGAGTTTCTACCCTTTTTAGAGGAAATATTCTGCCTTTTTAATATTTCCCAGGATATTTCATTTTTCTAGGAGATGGGTGGGTGCTAACTTCCTACAATGTGAAGGCTGATCTTAGGTTTGTTTCCTTAGGCAACCACTTACAAGATAAAAGTGACAATACACACAATCATAATTATCCATATGGAAATACACATAAAGATACTATCCATTCTCTCTGGATTTCAATAGAAAAATGCACAGTTTTGTCTTAACATCATTCATGTTCTGCTTCAACAGAGCAATAGTTTTCACATCCTGCATTTGATACCTACGCTATCCTCTGATGAAAAAGGACCCTATGACACAGCTGTAGGTCCTTCCTGCCTCCTTCTCCTGTTTTTGCTTTCTCTAGACAAATGAATTGCCCGGACATCATCTATTTTAAAATCTAATAATGTAACATTATGTCTGTTAAGAGTGCAGAAAATAAATACAAATTTTGTTAAATATGCTTTGATAAGTCAAAGTAATAAAGTACTTTTCTAAGAAAAGCTTCTCCCTATAGCCAGTGCAGTATCTTAAATATTTGCAGAAATAATATAAGCAACTTAGGATAAAATATGAGTGTCTGCAGGATATGGTGAAAAAAAAAAACCCAAGATGGCAGCCATGACTCGGCATCCAAAGCTCCACTCAGTTTTTATGTGTATTGTCTTGCAAAACACATAAAAATGGGAGGAGCTTTGATTGTCTCAGTTGCCATCTTGACTTTCTGAAAAATATCCTGCAGGCAACCTTGGCTTAAGATAAAATGTTCAGTTGTTTTAATTTATCTTGCCAAGTTCATTTCTCAGAAGGGAGAAGAAGAAGAAAAGTGGATCTGCTCCATTGGTCTTAATCCTGTCCAAGAGAAAGGAACTGTTTAGGAAATTAAAAGGCAGAAACACAAAGGGAAAATTCCCAAGTGATTTTGGAATTCATTTTAGCAAGAACTATAAAAACATCCACCGAAGATTGGAAAAGTAGATCTAAAGTAGCTCTTTAATGAGCTGACACTTTAAAGGGATCTCTATAATGGATGGAACAAGGGATGTATATTCAGTGAAGACTATAGCAAAGGAAACCAAGCCTGGAAAGATGCTATCAAAGACTAAAGCCAAAAACTGATGCTTATGAAAGAGTGTAAGGAAGGGAGGGGAGACGTTTTTACCTACAGAATAAAACTAAGATAGAGCTGTTTATAAAAATTAATGAAATCTGTAGCAGAATGACTTTGCCTTCTTTCAGTATCCAAGCCGCGACAAGCAAAACAAATAAGAGAGAGCTGTAGTGAAGGATGGTAAGGAAACGAAACTCCTCTGCAAGGAGCAAGGCACCAATTGCATTCCATAAAACCTCAAATCACAGAGAAGCATCCAGCAGTGTTGGCCCTGTCACTCTGGTGATGTCATAATCCCCCTCTCCAATGACTCTTGTAGCCCTCAAGCAAGGAGGGAAATTATAGCACAGCCCCCAGGCAGAAAATATTTGTCCCCTCTGTTCTAAAGCTTTAATTTTCCTGGCTGCTGTCTCCCATCCCTTCTCATGTCCTTTGTGCTGTTCTCTATCACATTATTAATTCATTTTTCCAACTCCTGACTTTAAAAAAAAATCAGCTATTAATCCCTGCATCAAATTGCCATATGCATATGTGTATGTATGCAGAGAAAGAATGCCATACAGGTCGTCCTCAACTTACAATCACAATTGGAGCCAGAATTTAGGCTGTTAAGCAAAGTGGTCATGCCTGATTTCATGATATTTTTCATCCCAGTTAAGGGAATTGCTGCAGTTAGGTGGATCACACAGTCATTAAGCAATTCTGGTTTCCTCCATTGACTTTGTTTTTCAAAAGGCAGCTGGGAATATCACGGATATGATCACATGACCAGCTGCCAAGCACTCTAATTTTGATCAAGTGACCCAAGGGATGTTACATCAGTTGTAAGTGCGAGGACCAGTTGTGGATAACTTTGTTCTGTGATGTTGTACTTTTGAATTACAGCTAAACTAATGGTTGTAAATCAAGGACTAGCTGTATATAAATCATTGTTGACCAGTGAGCTGCAGAATTCAGAAGTCAATTAACCTTATTTGGGAAAGTAAAGTTTAAATTTAAACAGAGATCTGAACAGTCTGTGTGTATTTGAAATTCTTCAGTGTCATCCTTTAACTTGAATTTAACAAACCTGTTCTGAACGTTCTCTATGAGTTCAGTCAGTGATGGGATTCAAATAATTTAACAACTGGTTCTCTGCCCTAATGACTGGGTGGGTGTGGGTGGGTGGGCATGGCCAGGGGGCATTACAGCCCTCAGCCTCCTGTAGCATTCTACCAGCCAAAATGGGGTGTGGGGTTAATTACAAAATGTGGGCTTTGCTTTGTGACATCCAGATCCAGCGAGCAAGGGTTGTGAACTGCATAGAAAATACACTTTTGGTTGATCATGAAGAAATATCCCCAAAGTCAGATGTACACTAAATGTAGACTGACTTTTAGCTACACATCTTCCCAGCAAACAGCAAATGTTGAAGCTCCAGGTAAAGAGGATTCAACCATAACTGATTTATTTAATTACACCAAACCCTAAATAAAACAGGAATGGAAAAGCTATAGTGTAGACCATGCTTCTCAACTTTGGCAACTTTAAGGTTCATGGACTTCAATTCCCAGAATTCCACAGGCAGCGACGCCTCCCCACACCCCACTTTGGGTCTGGAAGGCCTCCTGCACCACCCTGGAAGTCAAAACGGGGCACAGGAGGCCACACAATGTCCCCCTGTGTCCCATTTTAGGCCTGGACGGCCTCCTACACCCCCCTGGAAGCCAAAATGGGGCACGTAGGGCCACGTGATTCTCCTCCATGCACCATTTTGAGCTTCGACAGCCTCCAACCTGGAAGCCAAAATGGGGCACATAGGGGGAACTCCTGGGAGAGATGGGCAGGGCCAGCCAGAGGTGGGAAGTGGCAAAAAGTTAACAACCAATTTGCCTGAATCGGTGCAAACCTGCTGAATCCTACCTCTGGGTCCAGCTCTACACATGTCCATACCTGAAGCATTCAATTGCAGTGGTGGGATTCAAATATTTTTACCACCAGCTCATAGGTGTGGCTTAGTGGAAGCACTTTGCACACGTGCACACACTTTGCATGCATGTGTGCATCAAACGCACACTTTGCGCAGGCGCAGAGGTGTTCTAACTCACCTCCTGCAAGCCTGCACTCTCTCGGTCACTTCAGCAACTGCCACGTGGCACTCTTCAGTGCCACGCAAAGCAACTGCGCTTCAAAAGCAGAGGATAAAGGTGAGTATGGGAACCCGGGTGGGTGGGTGGCCCCAACAGTAGAGCCAGCAGAGAAAACTGGTTCGGTCTCTGCTGCTCATTGCTGCTACTGGCTCTGCAGAACCAGGTCGAACCAGTCGAATACCACCACTGATTCAGTGACTTCTTTTCCCAGCCTCAAAAGGCAGAAAGAGTAAGCAGTCACAGCTCTCACAATAGAGCCTACTATGAACTGACCAACATGTTGGTGGGATCTGAGGTAGATTTAGAATGGGCTAAGGGAAATACCAACACTTGAATTCTAAAATCTTCCTTTGCTGAAATATAGCACCATCTGTATCTTTGATTCGGAGTAATTGACAGATTTGATGTAGTGGTTCAAATTTAGCCAGAAGCATAAGCAGATAAAAGATCACCTTTTAAAGAAAAAACAAACACCCTTAGAAGGACATGTACAATTAAGAAAGCACACACACACACACACTGGGACACTTTTCTAATGGACAGTCAACGCAAGAGTTTCAGAACAGGGGAGAATGTGTTAAAAACACCTCTGATTTAGAAAAAAGCTTGACACCTGCTCTCTCTGCTGCTTGCACAATGCCTTATCAGGCAGCCAGCCAAGGGAATTGAACTAATCTAATCCCAAAGCTACAGAAAGCAAGAAAAAGCATTTTTAGGCCTGACAGACAGAAAAACGGTCACAACCCAGCAATAACCTGTACGTTGCAAGAGAAAAAGAGAGAGAAACTAGCTGGAGAACTTAGATTTTTCTCAAAAGATAAGGATAAAATTCAATTTCTTCTTTTCCTCAGGCTTTCCACTGTGGAGCAAAAGATATTTAATTGACATCCAGAAGTTTAGAGGACAAAAATAGACCATGTTACATTTTGGGATATGAGAAAATATCCACCTAACAACTTTGTTTCCCATTTCCTGTCATTGATTTCTAGCTCCGTCTCAATAATTAATAGTGTTAATTCACATCAAGTAATGAATTAATTAGATCCATGGGGGGTAATTCAGAGAAGCTTAATACATGCTGTAAAAGCAACAATAACAAACAAACAAATCCAAGAGCAATAAGTACATATTATTATGTGGCGCATTGCCACTGCATCTAATGCTTGCAGCAGTTTAATCCTGAGAAAAGAATATTATACATAAAAGCAGCTGGGGGAAGGGGAAGAAAATGCAAAAATATCTGTGGCATGTCCAAGATTTTAACCCAACCCCCACCCCACTTTTCATTACAATTTTTACTGTTAATAAAAAAAAAACTGCAATACTTTGGCTGTTTTTAATTCATTGGGATCGTTTAATACCTTAAATTTAATATCTTGACTATCTACCTGTTAATTTGATAATTATAACTTTTTCTAGGCCTATTATATCTGGGTTGCAAAAACCTGGAGAAGCTGTAGATGGAAGCAAAATGTTAGTGTTCTGTGTTGCTTTGGTGCCCTCTAATGTTCACTTGAGGTTTCCCATTCATGACTACGCTTCCCTTCAAAGTTCAGTTACAGCCTCCTGAAGACAAGCTTCAGGAGGCTAATTTGATATGATTAATATTACAATGAACTGTTTTTCTCTGATGTTTTCTACCAAGTCTGTGCACTATTTGGATCTTCTCACTGAGAGCACAAAGCACTTGCTCTTAATGGCTGACAAGGCAATTTTCAGCCCTCTTCTGAGCTTGAGTATATTAAGAAAGGGATACAGATTAAAGGATTTTCAGTGAGTCTTCCTTCCTACATTTTCAGCCTCCCCTGGAGAAAGCACTATCCATTATCAACATAATGCATCTTTCCCCCCTCTCTTTATAAATTAGCAAAAGGAGTATTGTCAAAAAAATGCCAGCCTTTGCCTCTATCATATAGTAGCTGTATTTACTCACCCAATACTGCTGTGATTATAGTTATTAGGGCTTTAGTCTACTGCTTCATCCAGAACTTTTCTTTTTCACCTTTTTTATGGTATTTCAGAAATGCTATAAAAAATAACCTGTCACTCCTAGATGAAACTTAAAAGCCTGTAATATTGAGAGGCAGAGAGAAACTAAAGTGGATGGTATCTGTCAAACTCACATTTGCCATAGTGCCTGAATTGAAGCAGAAAATCCTGCAGCAGAAAAAAAAATTGTCGTAAGAATGTACCATTTTGTTAGTGTAACCTAGCAGAATAACAGAGTTGGAAGGGTCTTTAGAGGTCTTCTAGTCCAACCCCCTTCTCAAGCAGATGATTCTATACCATTGCAGACAGAGATGGTATCCAATCTCTTCTTAAAATTGCCCAGTGATGGAGCACCTACAACTTCTGGAGACAATCGGTTCCACTGGTTAATTGTTCTGTCAGACAATTTCTCCTTAGTTCAAGGTTGCTACTTTCCTTGAGTAATTAGTTTCTATCCATTGCTTCTTGTTCTGCCTTCAGGTGCTTTGGAGAATATATTCACCCCTTTTCTTTGTGGCAGCCCCTCAAATACAGTATATGAATACTGCTATCATGCCACCCCTAGTCCTTCTTTTCATTATAATAGACGCATCCAATTTCTGCAACTGTTCTTCATATGTTTTAGCTTCCAGCCCACTTTCCTGCACTCTTTCCAGAGTCTCAACATCTTTTTTATATTATGGCAACCCAAACTGCAGACAATATTCCAAGTGTGATCTTATGAAGGGATTATAAAGCAGTACTTAACGCTTCATGTGATCTTGATTCTACCCTTTTGTTAATGCAGGGAAAGGGGGAGCTAGATATATCAATAACTTTTTAAGATAGTTTTCTGCTGTTTTCTGTAAAAATATCTCTAAGAGGTTCAACTTTTGGATCAAAAGATAACACACATTGCAAAATGTGTGCGCTGAGTTATATAGATGATTTGGGTTTAGAATAATGCCACATATCAGTGCCAAAAATTAGAAATTTAGTTATCAAACAACAAATTATTAGATAGAAGTTGCGCTCATAGATAATGATTCATGGTTTATTTAATGATTATTGAACAAGCAACAAAGGATGAGCTAAGCTATAGTATAGATTTGCTTACTCATCTATATATTCATGTTATGTGATTGCAGTTTTGAGGTTCACATAATACCAGTGATATTTTTTTTCCTGGTCAGCTAGACAAATGAAAACTGCCCAGAAGGAAAAATTTACATTTGTGCTATAACTGAGCTTTTTCAAAAGATTAGAACTCTAATTTGAACTATAGTGGTCATCATATTCCTTAATATCAATGAAAGTTTCAGTTTAACTTATGGAATACTATTTTCATAAACTGGAAATGTGCAGTTCATTGCCTGTTTGTGATGTAGTCAATATTCTAGGCAATTTAAATTAAGATGAGCAATGAAGGCGTATCTGACATTTAAAAGATACACAGTAAATATTATCTAGATACAAGCACCATAATGAATATTTTTGAGATTGTATTTATTTGCAACCTGATGCAAAAGAGAATAGGATATAATTATTTCTGTACAGAGGCCAATGTAGATATTGGAGGAGGGGTCTAGTCACTCTGTACTTCAAAGGCAATATAGAGACACTAATGTAATTATTACATTTTATATAATATATATGATAGCAGATGAGATTCTGCCGAAACGTTGCTACAACTTTAAAAGCACAACTACAATGACCGTGGGAAAATACCTGAACAAAGCTGAATACCATATAGATATATACCATATTCAGCTTTGTTCGGGTATTTTCCCATGTCATTATAGTTGTGGTTTTAAAGTTGTAGCAATGTAATGTTTCGGCAGAATCTCACCTGCCATCAGGCTTCTGCATTGTGTTCATCTGTGAGTCAGACTTTCACAGCCGTTTCAGTTTTAAATTTGGGGCTAGTCTACTGCTGTGCCAGAATGGTTTTTTTCTTCATCCTGATTGGTTGGGAGTCTTGGTCTGTGTTTATTGGTCTTGGAATTTGCTGTGTTCTGCTTGATTGGTGTTTCTAATATCTTCTGTCTGTTTTGTAGCTTTTTTTGTCTTGATTGGCTGGCAACATTGTGTTTCCTGTATTGGAGGCTTTTAGTGAGGCTTGGCTCTGAGTAAATGGATGGCTATCATTTATTAGGAAGCTAGGTTTCATCTGGGTGCCTGGTTGGGCTGTGTTTGAGCTGGAGGTATCAGGGGGGATCTGTCTGTGCCCAGGTGTTTGCCTGGCTTGTAGTGTGGAGATTTTTTTGTTTGTGAGTGCAGGCTTCCAGATAATTGGCAGTCTGGTGGAGTCATCTCTTCTATTCATGCTTTCAGGTCTTTTTTCAATCTCTATGGCTTCTCTGATAATTCTGTAGCTGGGGTTTTCTATAGTGGCTAGGGTTTGGGTGCCATTGAAGTTGATGCTATGACCTGTGGCTTTCGTGTGTTGGACTAGTGAGGAAGTGTGTTCCAGCTTTTTTACTGCATTTTTGTGTTCATCCAGGCGGGTACTTATTCTTTTATTGGTCTATCCAATGTATGTGGCAGGGCATGATGCACAGGGGACTTCATATATGCCTTGGTTTTCCAGGTCAATTTCATCTTTCGGGTTTCTTAGGATGGCTACTATTTTTCTGTCTGTTTTGAAGGCAGTCTTGATGTGATGCTTCAAAACAGACAGAAAAACTATTGTAAAAGTATTGTACTAACCTGTGATTTCAGCTATTCTCACATTAACATATTCCTATGGCAGAGACATTTTAAAGATAGATAAATGACACTTCCTTGATCATGTATCAAACTATTCTCTTTTGAACACTCTAAAACAAGTATCCATACTTATGTTTAGTTTTGAGAATGCAGAAAAATGCAATGAAATGCATGTTTTCAGGCATGTTGACTAGATTTTGTTCAAAGGGAAGAGTTAAAAGCAAAAGAAAATGATTTGCATTCTTGGAAAAAAAAAACCTAGATCTTCCACTGATCAGAAAAGAAGAGGGACACTGACTTTGTTACTTCTATGGATGGGAGATAAGAAATAATGAAAGGGAACAAATAGTTAAATGAAAGATTCTCTCATTCCTGACACCAAGATGATGTGTTTGGATGAAAGATTGTAATCTGGTTATAATTTTGGAGTAGGACTTCTGTCAGGCTACAGAACTTTTTCCCATTCAGTTAACAAGAATGAACTTCTGAACACCAAATGTATCAAAAGGAATCCTTTATTGAGACGAGACATTTCATGTAGGAGTTCAAAGCAGCATCTGAGGTCCCTCAGGCATACAGGCATAAGGGAATTTAGAAACCCCTCCCCTTATCTTGATGTGTATTTGGTGAAACAAAAGCCAGTATGTTAATCCCCCCTCCACCCCTTTTTCACAGTTTCCCAGGGCATACCTAATTTTCCCCCACCCCCTTTTTAGAATGAACTTTTCCAGAGATTCCCAGGACACACCTCACTGTGGAATTTTTATAACCTTCTCATCTCCTGGTTGTGCCTCTCAGAGGTGATAGTTCTGGCCATCTGGCTTTTTTCCCTCCATTGTATCATGTGTGGGTTATACAAATTTGATATAAGATTGAATGTAATCAGGTTATATCAAGAAAGGATTTCTTTATCAGCCTCCCCCCCCCTTTTTTTTTTCTTCTTCCACTGAAGAAATGACAGATACATGGATCTGACATCCTGCCCTCCTTAAAAAACAGATAGGTCTACCTGGAAAAAAAAACCAAAAAACCATGCATTATATTTGCAATTCAGGATGGTTTATCAGGGTATTTTTGGTGGAACTTACGTATAATGTGGGTGCTTTTACATGTTGTTTGATTACCCACTCATTTTCCGAGGAAGGAAGGTGATTCCAAGCTACTAAATATTGTTTGGATCCACGGTGAGTGCGTGAATCAAGGATATCTTTAATTTCAAAATGGTGTTCCCCATGTAACATGATGGGGGTTGGAGGTGTGGGGAGGGGGGGTGGGGTCTGAGGTTTGAAGTGATATCCAGTTTGAGCAAGCTACAGTGAAATACTGGATGCATCTGCCTAAGTGTTTTTTTTCTCTTGTGCCCGGGTGATTACTTTGGCTGCTAGTTGGGTCAGTTGGATCATCGGTTTTATAACCTCAATCTTTTTGCTGTTGTATTGTGATTTTCTTTCCCCCAGGAAAATATTTGAGAGTGAAATTAAATCATTTAAAGTAATGAGCCCACCTTGCTTGTTTTTCAGAGAGTTTCCGAGGATTTCTCAGGGCTTCCAAATTTTTGTGATCAGTCCATACTTCAAAGGGGATTTGGTTTCCTTTCAGGAAATGTCTCCATGTGAGCATTGCCCACCGCACAGCACATGCCTCTTTCTCCCATATGGCCCATTTTTGCTCGGTTTCTGTCAGTTTCTTGGATGTATAAGCACATGGTTGTAATTGTCCACTTCCATTCTTTTGGAGGAGGACCCCTCCAACTGCATCATCACTAGCGTCTGCTTGGATGACAAAAGGTTGTTCGGGATCTGGGCGCTTAAGGACCGGTTCTGCTGAGAATAGATGTTTGAGTTTCTCGAATGCCACTTGGCATTTCATTGTCCAGATAAGGGGTTGCCTTAGTTTGGGTTTCTCCCCCCCCCCTTCATTTTTAGCAAGTTCGTGATAGGGAGGACGATGTTTGCAAAAGATGGAATGAATTTGCAATAAAAGTTTGCAAGCCCCAGGAAGCTTTGCAGTTGTTTGCAGGTGTGCGCTGGGTCCCAGTCCAGTACAGCTTTTACTTTCTGTGGGTCCATCTCTATTCCCTTGTGGGATATTCTATACCCCAAGTAGTCCATTTTTTCTTGGTGGAATTCACATTTAGAGAGTTTTGCATATAGTGTAGCATCTAAGAGTTTTGTGAGGACTGCACAGAGTAGCTTGATGCGTTCTTCCATCATTTCCATGTAGATTAAAATACCATCAAAATACACCAGGACCCCTTTATATAAAAATTCATGAAAGGTTTCATTGATCAATTGCATAAACATGGCAGGCACTCCTTGCAGTCCAAAGGGGAGCACTTTAAATCAGTAGCATCCCAATGGTGTGTTAAAGGCTGTCTTCCACTCATCTCCTTCCTTTATTCTTATGCGGTAATATGCCTGTCGTAGGTCTGACTTTGAAAAATTTTTTCCTTTCGAGAGGTGGGCTAACATGTCCTTCATGAGAGGGAGTGGTTACATATTCTCTATGCAAATTGTGTTTAACACACAGATGCATGGAGCCATCTTTCTTTTCATGGAATAACACTGGGGCAGCTATTTTTGGTCGGACGGGTTCGATGAAACCCCTTTTTAAATTTTTTGTTGATAAATGCTCTGAGTTGTTTTAGTTCTCTGGGAGACATGCAGTACATTTGTGGTTTTGGGAGTTTAGCCCCTGGTAGGATTTCGATAGCGCAGTCTGTGGTGTGATGGGGTGGGAGTTCATCACAAGCTCTCGCTAAATACTTGGGCCAGATCCTGGTATTCATTGGGAATGTTAATGGGTTCAGCCAACTATCTGGTCATGGCTGACTCTCTGTTCTCTGTTCCTTTATTTATCCTTTCCTCTGAGTTATTTGCAAATACTACGTCTCTTTGGAATTGTACGGTTCCTCTCCTCCAATTTATTTTTGGATTCCATTTCCATAGCCATGTGAGACCTAGGACTAGCGGCTCTTCCATTCCTGGGGCTACAACGAATGTGAGCATCTCACTATGGTTCCCTAGTCTTATTTTCAATGGTTCTGTGGTAAACCTAGCTGACTCCCCCCCACCCGCTATAGTTCCATCTAATTGGCAGAAAGAGATGAGATTTTCAACTTCTTTCAGTTGGATCCCCAATTTCTCTGCAAGGGAGGGATTTATTAGGCATTGGGTGCAGCCCGAATCCAGCAACGCTGCAACTTCCTCTCCCTTCCCTTGGCTGGGGATAAACAGTCTTAGGGGTAGTGTGATTGGTTCAGTTGGGTTGCTTATTAGCAAGTTGTCTTCCGGATCGCTTTCGGACTGGCTCAGGTCCCTCGGAGCATTGGGGGTTCTTCCTCTGGGTTGGGGGGGGATCAGGGTTCCACAGCTACTCGGCCTCTCAGGCCAGTCTCCTTTCCTCAAGGGCCGGATGTTCCAGGTTTCCCCCCTGATGGGTGGTCTGGCTTTCTGGCAGGGGTTTTCGAATGACATTCTGCTGCGCAGTGTCCCTCCCTTCCACACTTAAAGCAAGCAGACGTTCTTGGAGTCATGGTGGTTTGGGGTTTGAAAATTTCCCATTTCCCCAGGGGTGGGGATCTTTTCCAAAACTTGCCACTGCAGTACCAGTTACGAGTCATGTCTATCTCTGCCTCCTCTGCCATCATGTACCATTCATGCAGGAGGTTTGGGGCCCCGTGGGCCAGGCAGGCAGCGTATAGGTCATTATTTAGTCCATCTTTGAACCAACAGACTAGGATATCCTCTGGCCAGTCGACTCGGCCAGCCAGGTCAGGAAATTCCTTGGTGTATTCAGCTACCAGGCAATGGCCTTGCTTTATGATTCTGATGCAGTCTTGGGCTTTTCTATCGGCGAGAGGGTCTTCGAAGCAGTGGTGTAGGGCTGTCATGAAGCGGTCAAGATTCCTTAATTCTGGGGCATTGATGTTGTGGAGAGTCACCATCCATCTGGCTGCTGCCCCTTCAAGGGCCAGGGTGATGACTCGTACTCGGGATCCCTGGGTTTGGAAATTCTGCCCATATTCCTGCATGTAGGTGAGGACTTGCACCAGGAAAAATCTCAGTTTCTGGGAGTCCCCATCAAATTTTACTCCCGGGGTGGGACCTTCCTCTGCAGTTGTATGTCTCTGGGTTGGCCAGGGTTAATCCCCTGTTCTGGGGCATTTAGGGGTCGTGTACCTGGTATGGCTGGTATGGCTACTGCCCAATCATTCTCAGCTGAATCCGGGGTGGCAGCTCGGGTTATCTCATTTTCTGGTTCCCTTGCTCTCCTGCATTGGCATCTTGGTGCATCCCTCACCTTGAGGTTCTCCAGGGCTTCCTTCACGAGGTGATTTATATACCGTCTCAGTCTGTCATCGGCCGGTGGCTCCTCGCCCCATTCCTTCCTGATCCGATAGGGCCTCCAGCTCCAATTTCCATCCAGATTTACGATTGCCCCGGGTGAGGGTTACTCCCCTGGTTCTTCTGTCCCAGCTGTCTCTCTTTCTGATAGCTATAGAGCACCGGGACTTTGTGGAGGTTTTGTAGGCAGCTTTGCTATCTTCAATGGGGTGCATCAAGTCAGTATCTGGCTGGGTAACTGTCGATGTTTCTCCCCAGCATTCGGCTTCCCTTTGGTCCTTGCTGTACTCAGATATTTTCCTTTCTTGCAGGGTCCCCTCAGTAGAGTGAAGGTTTTTTGTTTTTTTTTTTAAAGAAAATTCTTCTCCAGGCTGACCTCTATTGCAGATGCTGCTTTATGTCAGGCTACATAACTTTTTCCCATTCAATTAACAAGAATGAACTTCTGAACACCAAATGTATCGAAAGGAATCCTTTATTGAGATGAGACAATTCATGTAGGAGTTCAAAGCAGCATCTGAGGTCCTTCAGGCATACAGGGATAGATAAGGGAATTTAGAAACCCCTCCCCTTATCTCAATGTGTATTTGGTGAAACAAAAGCCAGTAGAAATGATCTCCCTCCACCCCTTCTGTAGAAACGAGCTTTTTCACAGTTTCCCAGGGCATACCTAATTTCCCCCACCCCCTTTTTAGAACAAACTTTTCCAGAGATTCCCAGGACACATCTCACTGTGGACTTGTTATGATCTTCTCATCTCCTGGCTGTGCCCCTCAGAGGTGATAGGTTCCAGTCATCTGGCATTTTTCCCTCCATTGTATCATGTGTGGGTTATACAAATTCGATATAAGATTAAATATATTCAGGTACATCAAGAAAGGATTTCTTTATCAGTCTCCCTCCCCCCCCCTTTTCTTCTTCCACTGAAGAAATGACAGATACACGGATCTGACAACTTCAGACATGAAGCCCAAGTTCCACCATCATTTGTTTCCACTTCAAAAGTGTATTATAAGAGCAAGCAAAAACACCTTTTTAAAAACCCTTTTCGATAAATGGTTGAATTCTCAATGTTGGAAATAGAATTTAAGTTTTAGAATCAAACAGTGGGCAAAGTATAGATATCCATTTTGTCTCTGAGAGTGAGAAGTTATCCCAAATTTAGCCCATTTTTTTTCTGAGTTTAAGATATATGCAAAGTCAGTGCACATTTCTTTCCCCCAAAGATATATAACTGCATGATTATTAAGATTGTTATATACAATGGAAACTCAATAAAGGAGGTTATAAACTGAGGTGGTCTGAATCTTAGATTCTTATAAGGTCCCTCTGCAAGCCTTCAAATACAAATTAAGAATGAAAACCTTAACAATCAAATCAACAGATATTGGTGCCCTGTATTGTCCTTCCACTCCTTCAGCTTTATTTTAGAATATCTTTCTAGTTTTGTGAGAATGTATATATGAGAGCAACTAAGAATTATTTTATAAAGATGAGCTCTTGTCATTCTATCTTTTTTTCTAGGACTGATAGCAAAATTTCATCTTTGAGATGAAACGAACCTATCTCACAGGTCTTACATTTGACTCATAATACCATATAGTTAAAAAATTATTGTATCGTTGCTTGAAATGGTCAAGAGTTGTTCCTTATACAGGTCCCCTACATGATTTCACCATCTATGCAAGACCCTGGAATTTGCACAACTCGTGAAGTTCATTTTAATGTTAGCAGAACATTTGTGATACAGCCTATGTAATTATGCAGAGCTGGGTTTCAGTACCAAATGATCCATTTTGTTCTCTCCCAAGAGCAGGAGTATCAAACTCGATTTCATTGAGGGCCACATCAGGGTTGTGTTTGACCTTGGGGGCCAGGTGGGTGTGGCCAGGATGGGCATGGCCAGCTCAACATCACTCATGTTGGGGGTACCTATGGTGCCCAGAGCACTCTGCCAGTGAAAATTGAGCTCGGAAGGCTGTGATGGCCTCCCACAACCTTCTGCCATGAAAATGGAGGTCAGGAGGGCCGCACATGGCCTTTCTGAGCCCTGAGCTCTGTTTTCACTGGCAGAGGAGGCCATTGCAGCCCCCTGAGCTCCATTTTCACTGGCAGAGGCACCATGGGCTAGTCCATTGTTTTCAGGGTGGCCCCGCAGGCCAGATCTAAGCAGCCGCAGATTGAATCCAGTCCATGGGCCTTGAGTTTGACACCCCTGCCCTAGAGTCACCCATAGTGCAAGTTTAAAGAGTGCATATTTTAAAATACTTAACAATCAAGGCAATCTAATCAAGAATTCTTTACATTCAAATAATGAATCTGGTAGAAGTATTCCAAGGATGCTGCCTTGCATAAAAAAAATAAAATTAACAGTCTTGTTATAAATA